ATAGTATACAGTATAAGGAAATAATAATATCTGACCATGCAGCCGTTACTTTGACTTTCATAGAGTCAAAACTGATTAAAACTCGAATTGAATGGAGGTTTCAATTGAAGTGGATGCAAGACAAACAGTTTCTTGAGTTTTAGGCAAGCAAATTAATGAATACTTTGAGCACAATTCAAATCAAACATCGGCAAGTGTGAGATGGGACGCCTTCAAGGCATACTTAAGAGGGCAAATTATAAGCTATACTAGTAAGAAAACAAGAGAACGAAACCAAAAGATAAAATATCTGGAATAAAAAAATAAAAATGTTAGAAGAGACCAGCTTTCAATCAGGCCAGAATAAGGAGGACAATGTCAAAGAATTATTACTATTGAGAACGCAATATAACGAAATGACAAGCGAAAAAGCAGCTGTACATTTATTGAGATTAAAGTAACAATCCTATGACCAAGGTGAAAAACCCAGCAAACTCCTGGCTTAGCGTATAAAACAGCAGCAATCTGAAAGGGCAATTACCAAACTTGAAACTTCAAATGGAAATATCATAATAGACCCAATCGAGATAAACAATGCATTTAAAGTTTTTTATGAAACGCTATATAATTCAGAATGCAACAATGAGGGTGCCCGCAGGATTCACCATTATCTCCACTTTTATTCCCTTTAGCTATTGAACCTCTGGCAATAGCGGTTAGAACAAGTGGACAAATACAAGGTGTTAAGATTGGTTGAAAGGAGCATAAAATTGCTTTATTTGCTGATGATGTTATATTATTTTTAAAGCAACTAAAAACTTCTGTGCCTGCTGTAAAGCATTTAATAGACCAGTTTTGGGCCTTCTCAGGGTATAAAGTAAATGTAACAAAATCATCATTAATGTTACTTAAACAAGGGCTTTACTGTTAATTCTGAATTCACTCATCTAGGCATTAAAATAAAAGATGTGGTGGTACTTAAATATAATACAATTCTACAGAAAATTTCCAAAGATCTGGAGCGTTGGATAAGTTTACCACTATCTATAAGTGTTCTTAAAATAAATGTATTACCTAAACTCTTGTATATGTTTCAGAATGTCCCACTGGCTCCTCCTGCTGGATTGTTTACCAAACTAGCGTCATTAATCAGAGAGTTTATTTGGAACAAGAAGCATCCCCGCATTTGTTTGTCTTTGTTGTATCTTGCCTTTGATACAGGGGGGTTGAAATGCCCCAACTTTTACTGGTACTATCTGGCTATTCATCTAAGGACAATAATGTTTTATTTTTCATGGAAGCAAATTCTCTTAAAATGCCATTAAACTTGTACTTATACTCTGCACAGCCAAAACAATTAAAGAAAGAAACAAATAATCCTATAGTCCGAAATATGATTGAAGTTTGGTTTACAATAAAAGAAATTTTGAATATTAAGAATAATCTCTCTCATTTTAGTCCTATTTGGGGAAAATGCCTTATTTGCACCAGGAAATGTGGCAGATAAAGGTGTTAGGAAAGTGGGTGATCTTTTTTGTGATGGAATAATGGTTCCATTTGAGGATTTAGCCTCAAAATTTCAAATCCTCCAAAAACACTTCTTTAAGCATTTACAGATTTGAAGCTTCATTTCTTCCATGCAAAATCAGTCTCCCAACCTTCCCCAGTTAACTAATTTAGAGGAGTTAATGGTGGAGGGGAAAAAAGTGGTAACAAAGGCTTAATTTCAACATTCTATAACTGGATTGTCTCTGCCTCCCCAGAAACATCAGTTTCTAAGTTATAATCTTGGAGAAATGACCTAAATATTAATATTTCTGAGGAGACATGGAAGTCAATTTGCTTAAAATGACCCCAGGTATTTAAACTCATTTACCTTTAATACCTTTACTCCTTGCATATTTCAGATGAGCTGACCATCTGATGTAAAAGAATACATATTTTGGTCAAGGCATTGAAACCGAGGACAATTTTGACCTTTTCCGTGGCCAGTGGTCAGTGAAAACACTAAAAACAAGTGCAAGAACATACATTACATACTTTTCTCTTGCGCAACTGGTATGTCACTTTTTGTAGATGCTCCACCTCCTTTTTCAAATCCTGTTTAGTTTCTCTTATTGTGGCTCCGGCACTACCGGCACCCTCACCCTGACCTGGGCTCACCATCTGTTTATGGTACAAATTAAATATGTTTTGTTCATGATGGAGTAAATGATTATATATGAAAGAAGTCCAAACAATCAAAACTCTTACCAAGGGAATCAGGGCACACATTGTTACTGCTACACTGGAAGAGCGTTCTGTCTAAAAGCTCCTCTGTTCCTGATGACTGCTGCTCTTGCTGGGAAGCATGTATAATGTAAACAGAATTGGTCCTAGCACTGAACCCTGTGGAACTCCATAATTAAGCTCAGTGTGTGAAGAGGACTCTCCATTTACATGCACAAATTAATTAATTATCGGAAATAATTAATTACATAAATATTTACAACAAATGTAATTAATTAATTATTGACACATTTAATTATTTATTTATTTATTTATTTATTTCACATTTTAATTAATTATTGCCACATTTAAATAATTATTTAATTGTGTATTTAATTAATTCATTTTGGCACAGTTGACTCCTTCAGGTCTCACCATGAAATAATTTTATCTGTCAACCTCACCCATCAAACTCAGGAGGCGGGGTTAACACTGATCGAGTCAAAACCATTGCTTTGGCCTGGTGGCCATTGTTTTTAGCACACAACAACCAGCATGTGGAAACTCACAGAACTGAACTTTGAAAAACCCTGTTTGTGTGCCACCAAATACCGTTTTAATATTTTTTTTAGCGAGAATGTAGTGATTTAATCTTCATATGTCTGGTCGGTTTGTCAAGATACAGCCTCTTTGCAAAAGTGCTTCGATGATTTTGGAGATGTCTGCCCAGGATAGACCCGTTTGCCTCGCAAGCAATCAAGTTGTTATTACCACTGACAAAGCGCAGGCCCCGGTACACAGCTGTAATAACCCCCGCTGACACTGACTTCTTTTACTGAGGTTATATTTATCGGGGTTTTATTTCCTGATGTTCAGTCGCCAATTCTGAATTATAACTAACATTAAAAACATGTTTAAGGAGGAGAGAGAGCAAATAAATTTGATTAAGAGCTGATCTTTGGGTTTTTGTTCAGTAATCAGCGTGACCTGCGTATAAACGTATAAATGAGATAATGTTGGTGTTTCCGTCATGTAGTAACTGCTGGCTTTAACTGTACAAAGGTTGTTCGACACTATGAAACACATACAGACTTCATGATGTTCGGCTAATATTTTTATTGTGAATAGTAATCATGAGGGTAAACGGACCTGTACACCACGGAGCGAGGTCAGCATATCCACGATATCTTCAGCTCTATGAGTTAACAGTTTCCCAGCTGACTAGTCTAACTGACATCTACGAATATGTCACGGGTCATATCAATATGATTTTACAGAAGATCATCCTTATTACTGCCAACTATTCCAGAGACGTGAAAATCTACAGCATAAAGAACAAAAAAAAATATAGCAGTCTAACGCAACACTGTAACAGAGATGAACCGTCAGTTTGTCGCAGATCAAAGTGGAATGAAAGTGATTGGTTGAACAGGTGTTCGTGATCTGTGTTTTCTGCATTTTCATCAGTGTAAGAGACTCAGCAGCAGATTAGAATAACAGTTACACATTTAATAAATCACCAAATGAATACACGCAAGAAACGAGCAAACCTGTTCCGACAATTTGAGTTTGTGTTCCCTCAGCTGCAGACTCGCTACTGTTTAAATGTTTGAGAGGAAGATTAGATATAAAGCAAACGTCAAACATAGACTCAGTCTGCGTTCACATTTGATATGAGGCCAGGACGGATAATGGCTGTGTCCTGTTTGAAGATCATATATGTAAAATTGTTGTCTGACCTCCGTCGATCCAGCCGCTCAGAGTCCGTGGTTACCATGGTTACTGTATAAGCACCTATAATGTAAACAGCTGACACAGGGGAAACCTACCGGGAGCATGGGTGTTTATGGTTTTCATTGCAAAAGAACCGTCTGTCTATGTTTCAGTGCCCTGGTCTGCCACAGTTTCCACCAGCCCCACTCCAGTCTCAGCAGTTTAGTGACCTGACTGTTCCATTTTTAACTTTTGGTGTTTCTGCCTATCACAAGATTGATAACTTCAGTCAGCACTGTAGTGCATCATTCTCACATCAGAGGGACATTTGAATACTGTTTTATACAGCATATGACTGGAAGATGAATATCAAGCAGGCATAAGTGTGATGTTGATTGAACTGAGATCTCCTACTGTCATTTCTGTTGCTGGAGATGTCCACTCTAATTTAATTTAATTTAATTTAATTAGTTTGCTGCTTTGAATTATATGCAAACATGTCCATGTGGATTATATAAGTTGCTTGAGGAAGAGAAAATATGTTCATCAAAAGAAGACAGTTGAGGTATCTAACCAGGATTCCTCCTGGACTCCTTGGTAGGTGAGATGTTTTTGGCCATGTCCTACTGGGAGGAGGTCTCAGCGGGCTTGGGGAATACTGTGTCCTCCAGGATGAGCTGGAAGGCATGGCTGGGTTGAAGGAAGTCTGTCAAATTGATAAGCAGAGGAAGTGGTGCAGCACCTGGTTCTGTTTGTAGAAGCTCAGATGTAGGGGCAGCCAATCAGATGAAAGCTGGCGTAAATAGAGGAGGGGTTGGGGTGGGGGCTCCAAAAGACTGTAGCATGCAAAACCACTACTTTGTACAATTTCTGTCGTCTACAGACAAAATCATCTTAACTTGTGATCTTGTAAGCTGCTGGTACTTGAGTTGTTTTATGCCTTTGAACAGAGCCTGGTGGGTATTTGGTCCTGCTTCTGGCATCAGTGCTAAGTTACACTAATCCAGCTGCTGGGTGTAAGTTGTTATTAACTGGACTAGTTCATTTATCTATCTCTAGTATGCATTTGAAGAACTCATAATCTTCTGTGTTCTCCCTAGCTGCCCTGGGCTTATCCGTGGCCTTCATCTTAAAATTCAGAGACAACATGTTCCATGTGCTGACTGGCCAGTTCACTACTGTTCTGGTCACAGGCCTCTCCCTCTTCCTCTTTGACTTCCACCCTTCGCTGGACTTCTTCCTCCAGGCACCCACGGTCCTGCTGGCCATCTTTATCTACAATGCCAGCTGGCCCAAGGACCTGGAATATAGCCTGCAGCGGGAGAAACTACGGGTCATCAACGGGGAGGTGTTTGAGAGGTCAAGAGGGGTAGGAGACAAACCACAAATCCTCAGTAGTCACGCACACAAGCCCACACACTCCTTTTCCTCACACAACTTCGCTCACCTAACCCCGATGTATATCCACTTCCTCTACTCCCGCCCACATACCAAGTGCTCTGCAGGAAACTTGGCTCTTGTTTCTCTGTAATGTCATTTCTTGAGTGCAAGAGGAAACCTGATTCCCAGCTATGAAAATAGCATCCAGGCTCATGCTGGAGCCTTACGTCATAGAATTCCTTTAGTAGTCAAGTGTTTTTTGATGGAAGAAGCTATTTAACAATACAGTAGTCTGTGGGGATACTATCCTGGAATTCTTTTCATCCCCAGCGTCCTGTTCTGTATTGAAGAAACCCTGTAATTCAGGTGAAATGCCAGGTTTCAGGTGTTTGTTTCTTTGCTAGAGCACTAACAAAAATACCCTCTCCATTGGCAGCCGTGGCTTTAAAATGCACGGTACTTCCCCGGTGTTTTTCGGGGAGTAAATACTGCCCTCCACTTTCTGAAAACAGAAAAAAGATGTGCACAGTGCCTCAATGTCTGCAGATTTGTCCACTGGATTTGATCACTTGTTCATTCATTCTGATGCCTTGTCTCTTTTTTGTGTTGCAGGACAGTGAGGAGCTCGATCTCCTGACAAAGGTAAATGCAGACAGTGTTTCTGATGAAGAGTCCTTGTAGTAATGACAGAGCTCACTCCCAAGTATCCAGAGGATACTCTGCATCTTTCCTGCTGCTGATATCGAACTGGACAATTGACTGGATGGAACATGGTCACAGATTGTCTGTGAAAGCATTTATTTGAACAGTGATAAGCAGGTAAACGGTGAAAGATACTGTTGATAGATTATATGATAGACTCCTAGAATTAAAAACAAAGTGTTTAATAACAGAATTAGCGAAATGTGTATATTTTGGAAACGTGCCTGTCTGTGGATGACTGCTGTCATTCATATGGGGGAAAGTACCAGCAACGCTGTTTGTTGGAAAATAAGTGATACTTTTGGATTCATTATGGATTCCTTTTATGGACAGTGTATTTCTTTACATGATTCCTGTTGTACATGCTGCTATTTGACTGCTTGCTGGTGCTGGACGTCTAAGGACCAGAAACTGCAGTTTCAGGATTGTTTTGATAATAGATTTGTTTGAAATTGTGGTGATTTTGAATCTTTATCCACACTATGATGAATTCAGTTTGTATTGTACTGTGGAAGAGGCAGTTTATTTTTTTTATTTGTTTATTTTCTGAGCCAGAATAAGTGGTATTGACATAATTGCCACTAATGCCTGACTTTCTGTCAGCACCACAAACTCCCTGCCTCTCTTACTTGGGGCTTGAATATTTTCTTGTTAAACTGTAAAATAACATTGTCTAAAGATTGTTGTTTGTGCCATTAAAATCCTCACGTGTAAATGCATTTTCTTGTAAAATAAATGGCAAGTTGTTTTACTTCTGTGCAAGTAATGCAATTTAATACAATCGCTGATGTCTTGTCATAAATTTGTGCATTTATTTAAATACTGAGGTTTTCTGGAGGAAGACCTAAAGGGTACTAGCTGCTCTAACTCCATGTTTTTCTTCTATTACTTTGCACATGCTTGATAGCTGTTTTAGCTCCCTATCAGTTCCTTTAAGCCAACTCTTAGATATTTTACCCACCTGCTGAATAACAGTGTTCCACACCCACTAACATTATACAGATCCAAGAGAAAAGAGACTGTAACGCAGTCTGATGTCTAAGCTTTAACCCTTGTGTGGTGTTCATATTTTTGTTACTCAGCCAGTGTTCATGGCTAGAGTTTTGGCTTTCCAAATTAACACTATCAAACAATTTTATGTTAAATTACTCAACAGATGTTTACTTCATCCCAATTACAAGCCATATGAACAGCAAAGATGGTTAATTTTTTCCCTTTACCTTTGTCAGATCACATTTATGAATTAATGTGCTTCTCGTTTTTTTTTTAATTTTTTTCTAAAATGTTAGAAAAAAAATTAATCAGTTATAATCAAGTGGAGTGAGTGGAAAGACACAACACATTTACACGTGAAGCAATATGTTTCACAACTAAATGGGATCAGCTGCTCATCAATGGTGACATTAGGCCCAGGGTTGTAAAACAGGGGGAGGTGGTGCACACACTTATCCCACACTGTCCTGATGGCAGCTAGCTTGTCTCTCTGCCGTCCAGCTGGTCTGTCATCTCGGTTATCAAAACGGATAATCCTGGAAATTTTGTGGAAGTTTTCCAGAGACATTGATGCACGGAAAGGTTCTTGCCAGTTTCTGCATCCCACAGGGGTTCTGTGGATTCCCCTTCGGACCTGAAAACTCCTGCAAGGATAAGAACCCCAAAGTAGGCCTTTGGGGTTCTTAGATGAATTTGTTCCATCTCCTTCCACCTCTCTCCAAAAACACACCTTCCTTCTAGATTACTGCAATCCAGAATAATTTTCTGGATGGAATCTGGGATGAAAAGCTCAAATGAAGACTTGATGTCCTGCACATGAGTAACTGTCAGCCGTGTTGGCCCTGGCCAGTAGCAGCTCTGCAGGGTGGCTCATTTCTTGGGCAAGAAGACCATTCAATTTCACCAGTTATTGACATCCATATTTCTTCACTTGCTGTCTGGTGGGCTTGTTCTGGTCCTGGAGCTGGCAGCAGATGGGGTGCTCGTCTTCGTTTTGTTACTAAATGGTGCTCAACCTCATCCTCTTCTTCAAAGTCCCTGTCAGACTCTGAATTTTCAGAAATGTGAAATATTCTGAAACCTCTTTGTCAACATCATCATCCGAAGCCCCTCTCTTTTCCAAAATCAATTGGATGGCCCTCACAGCAGATAATCTTTTGCCATCTTGATCAGTTGTGATAAAGAACCACACTGGCAAAGTCTTATTTATAGTATTATGCCCCTAATTTGCAGGTAATTTGCAGACAATCTGCTACGCAGCAAAAAGCAAGACACAAGGCTCTGGTTTACTCATGCATGAGGGAGATCTGCCTGGAGCCAAGTGTCGTCCCACCACTTGACCTCTGTCAGACTCTCAGCCAGGCTCCCCATAGCACTCCTTTTATTGTGGTTACATGAATATGCATAGGGTCATTAACATATAGCATCTTACATAGGTATACATGTGAACAAAGAATACTGTGTGTGTGTGTGTGTGTGTGGTCAAAAGGGTCATATAACATAAAAGCACGAAGGCAAACATCCCATCCTTGGTCAGGAAGAGGGTAGACTAGACTAGACTAGGGCCAAAATACCAGCTACTGTGTGTGCAAACCTGGTAAAGACCTATAGTAAACGTTTGACCTCTGTTATTGCCAACAAAGGTTATGTTACAAAGTACTGAGTTGTATTTTTGTTATTGACCAAATACTTATTATCCACCCTGATTTACGAATAAATTCTTTACAAATCCTACCATGTGAATTCATGGATTTTTTTTTCACATTCTGTCTCTCACAGTTGAAGTGTACCTCTGGTGCAAATTACTGACCTCTGTCATCATTTTAGGTGGGGGAACTTGCACAATCGGTGGCTGACTAAATACTTTTTTGCCCCACTGTATATTTATATGGCTCTTTGAGAGGATATTGATTGACAGTAATGCATTCCCAAGTCCCTCCAACAGGACTTGAAATTGGTGTGAAATATAAGAGCTGCCCAAAAACATGTAACGTTTAAGAATTTCATCACAGCGTGAAACCACAGTTCTCAAAAAAGCTCACCACACCACCTTCTTCCTTGACAACGTCACATTCAGTGAGTATATGTTTATAACTCTTCTTTTCAAAACAAAAATGTGAGTGTGTGTGAATCTCCAATCATCTCCTGGATGATTGAGAATGCATCAAGACGTGAGTGTGTGTGGTTCATTTAGGGGACATCTTTACATTTTAGAGTGAAAAAACAGCTTGACTTACATGCTTTCCAAATTCACACCGCATTAATTTAAGTATTCAACAAGTTAATTGATCTACACAGCACGGCCATTCTGTTATGGGGCTGCCCATCACATACTAGCTACTTTTGGCTGCCCCTTTATTATCAATTTTACATGCCTTGATGTGACTGTGGTCTGGCCCTATTTACCTAAACCTGAATTAAATTATTCACAAGTCACTACAACAGGTATACTTGTGTTTAATTTGGCGTATTTGATGCTCTTCCCGACACAGCTGTCAAGGGATTTTTTTTTCCTCCTCCTGGTACTTAAATGGGGATCTTTCACTGTTAGGCAAATGTGCAAACCACTACACTATAGAGCCACAGCCTTCACATAATCCTCCTATACTGCTTAGAAAGAGTAAGTCTCTACCTTGACTCTCATGTCAGTGTCTGTGAGGACCATGTAGAACTCCTCGTAGGTCATGCCAAACTCTTTCCTCAGCTCTGTGATCAGATGCTGGTTCACCAAGTCTTCCTGACGAAAGCCCTTCATAGGCTTGTCATTCCCTGGAGAAATAAAGGCACATTAGAATGATTCAATATCTACTTTCCTACTTTAAAGGGGGTACTAATTTCCCCTTTAAAGAATATCAATTAACTGTTAAAATCAAAGGAACATAACATTTATTGTATTTGGAATCTTAGTGAAATGGTCCAAAAGTCAAATGTAAATCTAATATATTGCCCGGAATATCAGATTGGGAAAATTGGGGAAAGAAGGAAAACTGCACACTATTGGTTAATCTGTCTTCTGTCATGTCTCCCTCCCCTCACTGCCAGTCGGTTGCGGCAGATGGCTGCCTCTCACTGAACCTGAGGTTTCTTCCTGTTCAAAAGGAGTTTTTTTTCCCTTCTTCTCACTGTCACCAAGTGATTGCTTGGTGACAGTGAGTCTTCTGAATGTTGGGGTTTTTTTTGGTTTTTTTTCCTGACAATTATTCAAATGGTTATGGCTTCAAAAGGCTAGAAAAGTACAGGGCAGATACAAAAACAGCTTAAGACATATTACAGTCGTATTTCTTAACGTAAAATGAAGAGCAATTGTTTCCCAGTTAATATGCTTACTCCTCTTTTAGTTTAGTTATCTATGCTGATTTCAAAAAACTGCTCCTTTAACAAATTTGTCTGAGAAGTTTAAGAATTAGACTCTTGAGTGAAGAGCAGAACTGAAGCATGCAGGACAAACTGGACAGACAGCAGCTGAGATCTAAAAGGGTTGGATGTCTCAGAAGTCTAATGGAGCTGGTGTTTATGCAGACCAAAGCCTTTAATCATAGCTCCTTCCGTGTGTGTGTGTATGACATACGGACCACAGAACAGTGTGTTCTTGGTAGAGATGGTACGATACCACTTTTTTATGTCCAATACCGATATCATAAATTTGGATATCTGCCGATACCGATATGAATCCGATAAAGTGTTTTTTAATCAACAAAACTGTTTTTTAAAATATCTTGCTGCATTTTGCAAGTCTGCAAGTTCATACTCAAGTTTAAAACAACAACTACACTAAAGCTATTCTGTTATACCTGTATGCAAAAAAAAATAATTCATAGTTCAGCAATACTGATCAATCTAATAAACTTAAACCTACACCATCCTCCCTATTCTGGTATTTTAAAGAGTACTTAGCGTAAATATTAAGCAACCTAACTAATAGGGTTCCAACTCCCAGCAACAACATAAATAAATAAAAAATAGGGAACCTCCATCACGCTCCACCTCATGATGCTTAATCGACGTAATCAACCTTAATTTGATGCAGTGTGAAAAAAAATGCACAGAAATCAATTATTTTTCAAGAAATATTAAATAGATTCAACATCTTTCTTCAACAAAATTGCAGACTGCACAGATGGTACCTTCCCAAAGTAAAAAGTACTATAGCTTACTAGGGTATTGGTATATATATTAGACTTAATAGTCACTATATACAGTAATTGACTTCTATTCATTTTACATCAAATTAAAACTTTGGGTGTCAGATAATTATTTATTAAAAGCTCGACATTTTAAATGAGAATAAGAAAGAAAAGTATGTCTTTGTGCCCCCTTTTCCCAGTTAATGCCCTATCGGCCCCCCTGGCTAAACTTTTATTTACTAAATTTTCTATTTTCTATGAGTCTGTTGTGGCCAGTGCGATCCTCTATGCTGTTGCATGCTGGGGAGCAGGCTGAGGGTCGCAGATGCCAACAGACTTAATAAACTAATCCGTAAGGCCAGCAATGTTGTGGGGATGGAGCTGGACTCCCTCAAGGTGGTGTCGGAGAGGCGGATGCTGTCCAAGATAAAGACAATGTTGGATAACACCTCCCACCCACTCCATGACATGCTGGTCAGTCACAGGAGCACGTTCAGTGAGAGACTGAGATTACCGAAAAGCACCACTGAACGACACAGGAAATCATCCCTGCCTGTGGCCATCTCCCTGTACAACGCATCCACTTAACACACTGTTTGCTGCTACAGCTACACGTTTCTTTTCCAACTATTTATTTATGAGTGACTTATGTATGTATGTATGTATATATATGTATATATTGTACTATTCTTAGTTAGTGTATTGTCTGTCTTGTCTTAATGTTGGTTTAAAATGGAGCACTGTAACAAAAAATAATTTCCCCCAGGGATCAATAAAGTATTCTGATTCTGATTTGCTAGATCTGCCCCTGCACAGTTACCAGCGTCAGCTACGTAGAAAAAGATCCTGGTGTAGAAAGTAATAGTAAATAAATTCTAACAACAGATTATCAAGGTTAAACGTGCTGCTGTTGTTCAGCCGCTGGTTTCCTCTTTCTGGTGCAAAGTGGGCCAAAAACAAACGAGAGACGGACTCATGACAGAAAAGCAGATCAGCTGATCATTGAGCAATTTCACGATTGAAGTAGCAGCCGGAGAGCGAGAGGCAGTCGCTTGTTAAGCTTAACGCAGGAATGCTTTACAAACATTCAGAGATGGACTTACACACTTGCTTTACTTCTCTCGGGGATAACTTTGTCGGAGATGAAATGCCAGGTTGCTAGTGAAGCTCCACATGCTATCCAGACCACCGACAGGTCCCGCATGCCACAGCCGCTCTATCACGTGATGCATACTGCTCCGACGTGCTAACGTTCTGAGGTGAGTTACGGCGTGTTGCAAGTTTTGTGAGGTGCTTTCGTGATATTTAATGGATCGGATTACATTTTTTATTTTTCTCCGATCCAGTAATTTAGGTCAGTATCGGACCGATACCGATATGTAATATCGGATCGGTCCATCTCTAGTTCTTGGTGGCTGGTTTGCCCACTCTCTGCTGTGTAATGTGTATGAGCAATCACGTCAGGAAACCCCCAGTACATGTAGGTGGCAGAAGACAGACTGCACACACAGATATGTACAGCAAACATTCTTTAATATGGTCTATATGCAAACATACACTTGGCCAACCAGGCTACAACCCAAAGATGAAGTCACTGTAACCAGAGGAGGGGCAATGCTGAAAGGACCAGCTGTTTGTACATGATCACCCACAGTGCGTTTCTCTCACTTCCAAGGACTCTTATGTTGACTTCCATTTACTTTCTTGAGATTCATTTACATACTGTTGCTTACCTTAACCTAAACTTAAATCAAGCCTTCAGTATGGACAGCACTCACACAACAACATTTCCCTGAAAAATGGTATTTTAAGGCAAATCACATCTACTGTATTCCTAAAAACATGCAAACTTACTTACATTTATGACAGAATACCTAAGTCTGTTTATTTCAGTACTAAGTAGAGAGCAAGCTTGAGTAGACAAAGTGTTAAAGTCAAACTCTCTTGTATTGCAGGGTCTTTAGTATATAAAACAACTTGGGATGGCTGTTGTTGTAAATCGGGGCAATAAAAAAAAACCTGGACTAACTGCTTTGTTGTTCTGTGTTTCTAGTTAACTTGTTTTTTTGTGTGGTGCACAGAAGTTCCCACTGTTGTGTTACTGGTTTAATATTGTTTTCCTCATACTACATGTGAGTATTCTGTGTTTTCACAAAGTAGAACAGAAAAGCAGCAGCTCTTAAAATGACAGGAAAAGCATTTAGTTGGATCTACGATGACTCTGTCATCCTAAGGAAGATTTACTGACAGCGGAAACATGATTTTGATTTAGAATTACAGCCTTTTGCGGTCATCTTTGTACCGAGTTGTTTCTCCTCATAAGCTGTTTCACAGATGAGCCATTAAAGGTAGAAAAGCTGGTCATCCAGTTTCATATTGGGCTCTTTGCGGATGCTCTGACCAACAAGGAAAGCCAACTTGTGGGCGTACTGGCAGGGAGCAGGCACTCTGATGATCCCCTAAAGCACAAAGAAAAACAATCAGGCATGACCAACACAATGCCAAAGTCAGTGACATTTACACAGTCGGGGAAAATTATTTGATCCTGCTGAATTTATACGTTTGCTCACTTACACAGAAATGAAGTCTAATTTTTAATGGCAGTTTTATTTGAACAAATACAGAAAAAAAACCATTATATCAGAGTTATGAATGGATTCACATGTCACTGAGTGAAACAAGTATTTGATACACAAGTAAAACACAAGTGGGTACTTTGTGAAGGAACTCTTGGCCAGTACAGCCGTATAGTCTGTCACCAGGTTTGCACACATCTCTGGAGTGATTTTGGCCCGGTCCTTTTTACAGAAACTAAGTCCTTTAGGTTTCTCAGTTGCCACTTGGGAACTCAAAGCTTAAGCTCCCTCCACAGGTTTTCTATACAATTGAGGTCTGGAAACTGACTAGACCACTCAATGACCTTAATGTACTACTTCTTTGGCCGGTATGTTTTAGGTCATCATCATGCTGGAAGACTGATTCGGACTAGGGCTGCCACGATTAGTCGACTATCAAAATCGTCGACGACTAATTTAATAGTTGATGTGTCGTTTGAAGCTTTGTAAGATCCCAAAAGACGCAGGAATAAGTAGTAGTATTTAAGGGTGTAATAACGGACTGAAACAGAAGATGGCAGCACTGCATGTACAAGGATGCCAGCTGCCGTTAAACCTTGAAGAAGAGGAAGCCTTGTCCCAGAATTCGTAGCGCAGCCCTGCTCAGTTTCCAACAATGGTGGCAGCTAGTTAGTTTTAATGTTACTCTTATTATTCTTTCTGGGTCACAAAATAAACGTTTAACATATTTTCAGGCGAGAATGTAGCTGTGTAAACTTCAAATATCTGCTCAGTTTATCAAGACACCACGTATGTTCAAAAGCGCTCCGACGTTTTCGGAGACGTCTGTTACCCACCAGCTCGATAGCGAGCCGGGGTTCAAGGCTCACCAGAGCCGGTGAGAACACCGGACTCCCGGCAAATTGTTTTCAAACCCAATGCCGTCTTTCACTACTCAGGTTAAACATATATAAATCAGTTAGATAACTTAAAAATGTTATCGTTTAGCTTTTTGTTTTAGTATTTTATTTGTTCCTGAGTAAATCGGTTTGGCTGAGATTAAAGTTATAGTTTTTACACAGCTGAATAAACATCAAGCAGACAACTGATTATCAGGAGTGTGAGATGAATATACTCCGGTGTCTGTTATATTTTAGATAGCAAGGAGCAACGGCTGAGTTTATTAAACTCCACCGAAACAATCTGCAGATTTCATTAAACTTTAATAAACTATCATCTAGTCTTTATCTTTAGTTAGCACAAACCATAAACACTTAAAGCTGTAAACTAATGATAGTTATATAAGAGCAGATGCTGCTGGTGCAATAAGCGGTACGTTTTACGTCCAATGGATGATGATCTGATTAGTCGACTAATGGCAAAAATAATCGGTGACTAGTGGACTATCAAAATAATTGTTTGTGGCAGCCCTAATTCGGACCCACCTTTAGTCTTCTGTGCTCTTATCGGAAAAACACCTCCAAAGTACAAAGTTTCCACCTTCATGTTTGACTGCAGAGATCATGTTCTTTGGCAATACTCTGCATTTCTTGTCCTACAAATACAGCGGGTGGAGCTGATGCCAAAGAGCTCAATTTTGGTTTCATCTGACCGCAGCACTTTCCAAGCCTTCTCTAAATCATTTAGTTGTTCACTGGCGAACTTAAGATGGGTGTGTCATGTGCCTTCCTGGTGTCCGTAGTCCCAGCTGCCTTCAGATCTCTAACACGCTCCTGGCATGTAGTTTTGTGCTGATGACCACCTTTCTTGTGCACCCCATGAGCAAAGATCGTATGTGGAGCTCCAAACCGAGGGCAACTGATGGTCATTTTATATTTCCAGATAATTGCACCAGTAATTGTCACCTTCTTACATCCCATTCCCCGTTTGTCCTTTGACAGCTCTTTTTCAATTACTGAAAAATATAATTAATTGAAGAAATTGATTCTGTAGACAGGTGTGCTTTATAATTAGACACTCTTGAACTCACTGATTGTAATTTGCCAATTTGAGTCAGAATTCTGGCTGGGTTGTAGGGGATCAAATAATTATATCACTCATTGATTTTTGACTGATATTCTCCCTCCATTAAAATTAAATTGTATTGCTTTGTATATTTTTAAATTAGAGTCGATCATTCAAAAACGTCATCATTTAATGAAAACTCCTTAAAAACACTGAGGAGAAAGACGCCTGATTATGAGCGGTTTAGATGAAGACAACATTTTCAGTGTAGAAAGATTTCTACTCAAAAAGGTCACTCTGATGCCAGCCTACCTGCCAGTTGTAGTACATGTGGCAGAGCTTGTAGGTGAGCCGCTGCATGTGATCTGGCTTGAGTCCACTGGTGTCATACACGACATTGTAGTGGGTTGGTGAGACACTCCCACTGCGAACAGCCTGGCTCACAATATAGAAGTCATACCTAGAAAACAAACGTGCAACAGTACTGTCACAATACAACTGCTCCTATGTAAATATCAAAAGACCGTTAACAGCTAAAAACAAAAAACCAACAAAAACCCCGTCCCCCTCAAAACAAGACGTACCACTCTGGCCGGGTGACCTCTGCGTCAATGATGGTGCCAGGAGGAGGATTGGACACCTTGCCATTTATGTGGGCGAAAAACCTGCTGCTTATGCGCTTCTTCACCACCACCACACTCAGCTTTGGGCTACAACAAAAAGACAGAGGCTCTGGGAAAACCTGACACTTCTACTAAATAATCTCAACTTTGTTCTTTAGATGCTCAGGAATAAATACTAACAGCACTACAAAAACGTCCATGTTCCAACCAGTCATTTTACTTTACTGTCCTTACAATTCTCAAATCAAAGGAAGGAATCATGTATGACCATTTGTATTATCAATAACCCCACAGTGCAAATTTAACTGCCTCTGAGGGCAACGGTTTTTAGACATTTAAAAAACACCATAACCGTTGGAGATGTAAAAACTCACTTGTAGTCTTGCCCCATTGACTTGATGGAGTCCATGATCTGCTGAACCTCATAGTTCACCACACTGTGCAACTGCCCATCCCCCACTCCGTCTCGGTAAACGATGATGCGTGAAGGCAGACAGCCATTGAACCTCAAATACTCTTTCAGGGCAGCTGGAAAACAAAGTGTTAAGACAGTTTCTGAGATCCTCTGTGTATTTAAAAGTAAAAGTTTTTGAAATGACAAAAGAAACTTGCCACTCAAAGTCTTCTTCAGCTCATCCATGATCTCCTGACCTTTGTGTTGCAGCACACACTTTGAGAACCACCTTGAAAAACATCTGAATCATTAACTGTACTATTGCATTTAAAGGCTGGGAAACCACACACACACACACAAAAGGCCAAGTGAGGCCTTGTTTGCACATGTTGAACATAACCGAGAGCATTGCACTGCTCCCAGTGTGAATTCCCACCTCAGTTACAGAAACCAACCTGCTCATGCTTTGGTTGAGACTGGCCACTAGAGCACCAATAGACCTTTTCCCAGCAGCGGTGTCATGGTAGCAGTCGATGCCCACGATCATCAGCTGTTTGAGCTGCACAAACATGACAATATCACAAGGGGTTGCCACAGCAGGTAGCTCCAGATGTATGACTTAGCAGATTTTCTTTCTTTTTCTTAATGTTGGACAGCTACAGAACCATAGATGATTTCTGCACCTCCAGAGATCAAACTGGGGATCTATTTTTAAGAAGTCATCCCAAGGACAGTCAGAGGCATTGTGAACCCAATCAAACCAGTTTTGGATGAAAGGAGAAAAAAAAATACATTCTCATCTAAAGCACCAGAAAGTTTAATCAATTCAAAAGTTACTACTCTTTGCTTTCCAAAACACCTTAAACTTTAATCTCTGACATCTGAAGTATTTAGTTTGTGCGGGACTTACAGGGATTTCCACACTCCAGAGTTCCCCTCCCATCTTGCAAGCCATCTGCAGAGCAATCTTTGTAGCTATAGTCATGAGTGCCTGAGGTCGGCTGAGGGTACGGGCCACCACACACTGGCTGGGAGTGGGGCGGTCCACACAAAGGAACTTCTTAACGCTGTCATACTTATCCTTCCTGTTGTTGGGGAGGACTACCACCACCTAACAAACAGAAACACCCTGAGGTCTGGTACCGCTTTGGGAAACGTCAAAATTAAGATCCCTGATGACAAAAATGCATTGTGACATAACTACAATACACTGACCTGCAGTTTCTGTCAGTTATAAAAAAAATGGCTGCAATTCGAGCATTTAAATGCAAATGTGGTTCATAAAAAACATTTTAGACCTGAAAACTGAAAAGTAAATGTACAAGTGTGTGCACTTCACACATCACCAACCATCTCTATCTGGGGTCCGACACTGTGCCGCAGGGCTGCGAGGAGAGACTCCTGATGATCTTCATACTGTATCCTACAGAAAAACAAGGATGCACGATAACGTTTGTGAATTAAAAGACAAGAAAAAAAAACCTACAAGTGTTACAGTCAAAAACTTCACTTTACATACATGACAGTCCATTGTGATAAAAAAATGTGTTGCAGAAATACTTAAAAGTGCTAAACTCACATGACAGGTTTTCCCATGGCGATTCCCAGTGGGCCTGAGACTCTGCTGAGGTTCTGTAGAAGAGAACTGGCTTCATTGCTGTTACGACGGGTGTGAAAGAGGAGCCAGTTGTTCAAGGGAGGAGCGCTTATCACAGCTAATCCACGCATCTCTTTGGCCCAGTCAGCGGCCCAGGGGTTGTAGTCATACTATGTGATAATTATATTAAACATATTAAACGAGCCCTTAAATGTATCTGTTTAATTAACTGAGAAGAAGAAATTATACCGATCTTGACCGTTGGTAAATCCTCTCCACAGGGAGGACTCTGCCAGCCAGATTTAGAAGTTGGTTATCAAAGCTGAGTCCCCACTTATCCAACTCGGCTTGCGCGTCAGCGTTCCTGTGAAATAATTTAAGCTGTAAATCAAAGCCAGGAATCTTACAGACAGAACATAATGACGAAGAAATTTGCAGTCAACTTTTGAGTATATTATCAGAACACCCAAAGTGTGTCTGAGATGAAGACAACTTCTAGGGAAAAAAAAAAAAAAATCAGAGCTTTAATTGTCATAATCAATTGAAAATATATGCCTCAAAAATCACCTCTCCTCTTAAGCACAGTATAGATGTGACAAGTCCAGTGTTAACACTAAATCATTGTTTTATATATTATTGCCTAGCTATTAAAGACCACCTAGGCAATAACTCAAAACAATCCGTTTATTTCTATTCTGATTGTGATTATACTAGTGACTGTCACCTACCTCTGTATATTAGTGATAAATCTGTTGAGGCGTCCCTCCCTCTGCTCTGGGGTCAGTCTGGTGTGGGTACTCAAGTCCTTCATGATGCTGAAATCAGCCCGCATCTTATCAGTCAAGCCTGTTAAACACAACCAATCAAAATGTAAAATATCAAATTCCTATAAAAAGTTAGTTCTAATAAAACAACTTCCTTGTAAAACACATCTGAGGCCAATGTTCCAGGTATCAGAATAAACAAACTAAATACCTTCTTGTGGATTACTATTAGTGACTCTAACTGCAAACATTTCTGACTTGTACCTTGTTGAAAGTGGTACATACATGTTTGTAAGATTAGCATTGTAACTTTAATGCAGACGGACTGAGGTCCTTAGACGTGACGCTGGAAAGTGGCCGGGGCCCCGAACAGGCCAAACGGAAGTGTCACGAACTGGTACAAACCGTACGGAGTGGAGAAGGCCGTTTTCTCCCTGGCCTCGGCAGACAAGGGAATCTGCCAATAGCCCTTGGTTAAGTCCAGTGTCGTGAAAAAGCGGGCCGTGCCTAACCGGTCCAGGAGCTCGTCGACCCAAGGCATGGGGTAGGCATCAAAGCGTGACACTTCGTTCACCCTGCGATAGTCGACACAGAACCGTATAGACCCATCCTTTGTCGCCACCAGAACGATGGGGCTACACCAGGCGCTGTGCGACTCTTCTATTACTCCCATCCTCAGCATTTCCGCCAATTCCCTCTGCACGATTTTTCGCTTATGCTCCGGGAGCCTGTAGGGCCGTGAACGCACCGTCACGCCGGGCTGCGTCACGAAATGGTGCTCGATGAGGGACGTCCGGCCGGGCAGGGGAGAGAACACGTCCGCAAAACGCTGTTGCAACGCGACAACATCCGCTCTCTGGGCCTGTGTGAGATGGTCATCACAAGGGAGGGAGGTGGGAATGATAGAATTTGGCACCTCAGGCCCCAACTCATCTCTCTCCTTCACCAAGCTCACCAGAGAAGCGGTTTCAACCTCTCGCCACAGTTTGAGGAGATTGAGGTGATAAATCTGCGTGGCTCCTCCCCTGTCCGACCGAGCGACCTCATAGTCCACGTCCCCGACTCGCCGTGTGACCACAAAGGGTCCTTGCCACTTGGCGAGCAACTTTGAGCTGGAAGTAGGGAGTAATACAAGCACTTTATCTCCCGGTGAAAATTGCCTGAACCTAGCCCCTCTGTCATACAGGCAGTACTGACGCTGCTGAGCCTGGAGCAAGTTCTCCCGTGACAACCTCCCCAAAGTGTGGAGTTTTGCTCTCAGGTCCAACACATACCGAATCTCATTTTTGGCGGGGCTCGGACCGTCCTCCCAGCTTTCTTTAATCAGGTCGAGCACCCCACGTGGCCTCCTGCCGAACAGCAGTTCAAAGGGAGAAAATCCCGTGGAGACCTGGGGCACCTCCCGCACTGCGAATAACAGAGGGTCTAGCCAGTGATCCCAATTGTGTTCATCCTCGTTAATGAACTTCCGAATCATGGACTTTAAAGTCTTATTCAGCCGCTCCACCAGCCCGTCAGTCTGAGGGTGGTAGACGCTGGTCCGAATAGATTTAATGCCCAGTAATTCGTACAGTTCCCGCAGTGTACGAGACATAAACGACGTGCCCTGGTCAGTCAGTATCTCTTTCGGGATTCCGACTCGGGAGATGACCTGAAACAGTGTCTGCGCCACACTCTTTGCAGAGATGGTGCGCAGCGGAACTGCTTCCGGGTACCGCGTTGCGTAATCCACCAGGACTAACACAAAGCGGTAGCTGCGTGCACTCCGGTGAAACGGCCCGATGAGGTCCATGCCGATGCGCTCAAACGGGACCTCAATGAGGGGGAGAGGGCGCAGCGGCGCCTTCGGTATGGCCGGCTGGTTAACAAGTTGGCAGTCCGGGCAGGACGCGCACCAGCGGCGCACATCCGCTCGGATGCCCGGCCAATAAAATCGGGCCGTTATTCGCTCCAGAGTTTTCTCATAGCCCATATGCCCTGCCATGGGGTTATAGTGGGCCGCCTGGAAAAGCGTTTCCCGGCGGCCCTGCGGCACCAACAACTGGGTGTGTGTTTCCTCTGTCTGAGTGTCACGACTCACTCGATATAATCGGTCATTTAATAAGACGAAACGTAGGTCTGCGCGGCCTCAGGGCGCACCACGTGACCATCAATAGCCATCACTTGGTCAAAGGCTGAGTGTAGGGTGCCGTCACGAGACTGCTCCAGTGGGAAATCACCCATGGGGGACACTTCCGGGGCCGGCGGGACGTCCCGTGAGGGACCCGCCGGCTCCTCCCCCCCGGAGTCGGTGTCGGACGACCCCGCGTCACCGCTGCATGCCGCGCACACGCTACACCCCGCTTCCGGTCGTGATCGCACCCCCGCGTACTGCCCCAGTAGCCGATGAAACCCCGGCCAATTGGTACCCAGAATCAGGGGGTGCGACAGGCGCGGGCTAACCGCCGCCGTTACTCTATGTGTTTTGCCCTTATACTTTAATAACAGCGGCACTCTGGGATACCTGTGAACATCACCATGCACATGTAACACACCCCAAGCAAGAGGGCGGCTGACAGATTATGTCTGGTTCTGAAAAAAACAGATAAATTATGAGATGGACGACAGGTAGTGTGTTTCCTCTCTCGCTTCTGCCAGATCTTTATTTAAACACATTCATGTGTTCACAACAGGTTGCAAAAACTTCTTAACATCTCTGTCTCACATTCCCAAAGCCCAAAATCAGAATAAACTAAAATAGTATAATAATAGTATAAACAAAAATCTAAACAGTCATCTCTGTTGTTTGTTACTAAGAGCTATAAATCACACTTTTTTTCACACATCGTTTGATAAAGCAAACATTCCAGTATTGTACCATATACTAATGGCGTATCTGTGTAGTGGAAATCTCCACATCAACATTGCAGAGCGATCAGAATTATTATAGGTTATTACACTAACTTTAGACAATAACAGTGACAACATATCAAACTGTCTCTGCGAACACATTAACTCAAATATACAGGAGCCGTGGTGTACTTTTGTTACAAGAGGGTGCCTTAAGTTTAGAAAACAACAAAGCTAACAGCTACTCTAGGATGTGGCGAGCTAAGCTAGCTCCTACTCTCGATCGTAACACATTTCAATGAGCAAAACAGACGAATACAGATCCCAGCAAAACAAACTGCTGGTCAGGTTTTACCCTTATTTGGCATGTAAATTATGTGGACCACATGTGTGGCCTTATTACTTACTAACCTGAAAAAAACAGATAAATTATGAGATGGACGACAGGTAGTGTGTTTCCTCTCTCGCTTCTGCCAGATCTGAAGACGAGCAGTAGCGTCACACTAAACCATCTCACTGGGGCGGAAGTGCCCCCTTGTGGCGTAACTAGGGATCACACCACATGTTGGATCTCCAACAAAAATCACAAGATTAAGGCCCTTCCTTAACAAAACTACACCTAAAAGCTTAAATCACATAATGTGACCACACATTACAGTGTGTCACACACACACCTCACCTCCACCCATTCTGCCTCCAGCAATGCCCCGGGGCGAACCAAGCTTTGGTGTACGAGGGTCTGCGTGCAGCCCGTGTCCACCAACGCCTGGTCCCCTCGAGTCCTTACCGGAATACTGTATGTCCCTCCTGGACCGGGGGAGGGTGCTGGGGCGCCAGCAACGCGAAACACCTGCCCCACTTCCATAAGCGGACAATCCCTCCTCAGGTGCCCCGGCTGCCCGCACTTCCAACACTCCGGCCCCGGCGTCTGTGCTGCTCTCCGTGGCTCGGGGGCGGCTCCACTTGGCTCGGCTGCCCTGGACGGCACCAACGCCGCGAAAGGGTTAGTGGGGCTCAGCGCCGGCAGCCGCTCTGCCTGCCCTGGTGCCGGCACACGGCGCCTCGGGGCCGGCACTGGGGCCTGTTTGTTCGGCCTCCGTCCGGCGTCCCCGGGTTCCCCTGCTCCAGCGGCAAGGTGGTCCTCCGCCAGCGTCACCGCTACCTCCAAGCTTGCGGGCCGGTGGCACCGGACCCATCTCGCCGTCTCCGCTGGCAATCCCTCCGTGAACTGCTCCAGCACCACCTTGTCCACCAGCTTCGTCTCCCCTCCGATGTTCCCGGTTGCAGCCAGCGCACCGCCGCGTCGCGCAGCTGCCGGGCCCAGGCGAATGGTCGGTCCGTTGTAGCCAGCCGACAGGCCCGGAACCGCCGGCGATGGTCTTTGGCGGTGAGCCCCAGCCTGTCCATCACCGCCCGGCTCACGTCCGTGAAGCTGCTCCTCGACGCCGGAGGCAGACTCAGGGCCACTGTTTGTGCCTCCCCGGACAGCAGGGGGAGCAGCCGCGGAGCCCACTCCTCCCGCGGCCATTGGCAAGCCTCCGCCGTGGCACGGAAGGTCTCCAAAAAAACCTGTGGGTCGTCCCCGTCCCCCATCCGGGGCTCCGCCACCGACAGTGGCGAGGGCTTCGGCGTGGCAGCGGCCCCGAACTCCAGAACTTGCGTCTGTCGGTCCGTCTGCTCCCGCAGCGCGGCCAGGTGGGCACGCTGGTCGGCCGCCTGATCCCGGCTCATCGTCGCCATCTCCGCCAGCATCTGCGCCAAGAATTGCAGAGGCTGGGCGGGTGGCGCGGCCTGTGGGTCGGACATTTCCCCACCGGCACTTTCCTGGGTTTCGGCACCACTTGTGGAATACACCAGGCACAGACGCACACACAGGTAGGTACAGCCAACTTCCACATTTATTGAAGTGATGTTGTTTTGACAGCTGACTCAGTCACACAGTCTGACAGCTCACGAGCCCAGCTGATCTCTCTCTGGCCGCTCCTCCTCGTCTCACTATAAACACAGCGGAGGGAGACCATCATCAGTGCATAAACAACATCAGCTGTTCTTACCGGCCTCGCAGCGCCGCCCTGTTGAGCCTTCCGCTCCACTCCTCCCCTGCAGCTGCGCCCGGGGCCACTCCTCCGCCACAGTGACATGAATGCGGGGGCTGTTTGTCAGATTCCGGGAGCATGGCGTTGTTTCTTGGAGCAAACCGTCATAGTGTACATTCCTGCGGTCACACAATAATTCCAGCAGAAATTTAAGTAGATAGGGCGGGTTGCCACTTAATTTTGTGTTGTGCACATGCGCAGAAACAACAGGTAGGATGGTTTGTGAGGTCGCATGGATTCCCAGAACACATTTCTCTCATTTTTTTGTGAAGTAGATGTTCTCATGACCTATCGAGTGATGCCACTGACCAGCCAATCAGTGGCATGCTGTCCGATGACGTAATAGTTTAATACCTGCTCGGATCGCTTGGAACCCGTCCGAGCAGGTACTAAAGCAGTACCAGGAACTAGTGATGTGACGTTCTGTGTCGAGGCTTCAAAGCTTGTGTCGAGTAATTGAGGGGCGTTTCCGCGATGCGCGTATCGAGGCTTGCTTCATTTACGGGAGGAGCTGAAAAGACAGTGTCACTATAATTATCGTGCGAGTTACAGGTTTTTCACAATTTGCCTCAAAGTGACACAAGGTCTAAAAACTCCCCATTCAAAGTCTCAGAGCTAAAATACTGAAACTGAAGGCATTTTCTGTAACTTTATTGCAGTTTATTGTTTGATAACAGCATTTTGGTTATTTTGTAAGTGATTTAAGTGTTACTCACATCCTGTCACTGCTGAGATTTCTTCTGCTATGATGGGTCATTGGAGTTTAACTGCCTAACAGTTACATTTATTTCTGTACCTCAATAAATCATGCTCAGTTTTTCCACATGATCTCTCCTTATTGAACTGCTTTTGTAGATAAGCTTCAAGCCAGAAAGCAACAACACCTAAACCAAAAATATTATCATCAGAAGTGAGAAAGTGTCTGGACTATCTCCAGCTGCGTTGCATGTATTAAAGATAACTTCAGACACTGTCTGGTTGTCATGTCTGAAACAGGCTGTACAGTCACACAGATAAAAGACAGCAGTCATGTTTCTAATATTACAAATCAACCAGAAAGATTATGAAGATAAAAGCTGTGAGACCCCACTAGAGAACGGATGGCTTGTTATCATTACATGAAGTGATTTAGAAATAAGCTGCCAAGTGGCTGCTGTGGCTGCTGCTGCTGCTGTTGCCTTTCTAAGATGCCCTCCACAATCTTCTCTATTGAGACTTGTGTCAGTGGTGTAGACAGGGCAGGAGGAGGCGGGTTAAAGACGGCAGGGCTCTATGGTGACTACAGGGACACTAGTTGTTTCACTGCCTTCAGTTAAAGACTGCCACAGCAGCTGCTGGGCAGCCACAGGTTTTGGAACAGAGGGTGGGGGCTGAAGGGCAGCTGGTTCATCTTTTCTCAGAGTTTTGTGTTTGTCCCAGTTCAGAGGGACTGGACGGCAGCCTGGCTCTCTGTATTCAAGCCCAAATTGCTCTCCAGTGTCTCTGTCAGAGAGGTGAAGTGCAGTGTACTTCTCCTGACCAGTCACTCTTCTGGAGGCTGCATTAAACTCCACCACTAGAGCTGGATCAAAAACACAAGGTAGCATGACACCTGGCTGCTTAAGCTCCACCAGTCGTTGGTAGTTCCATCGTGCCACCCCTGTGATGCCCTGGGCCTGGAATAGTTCAGTGGAAACGTGAGTCCCGGTGATCCACTGGGCCTGGTGGAAATGATAACCCTCCTGCTGTGAAGTGCCTCGGACAGGAATCCAGATGGGGACCTTGGCACCTTCACCAGGGACATGGTTAAGCTGAAGAGTCCCACCGTACCTAAACATTACACCCTCTGAGAGTTCAGGGTCACTTAGGCAGCCACGCAGAATGTGCACTGCGTCACGTCTTCAGCATGGATGGCTTGAAGAGTGGGACGTTGTTGGGGTCTGTGGCCAGGTGAAAATGGTTCAGGACCTTTTCCACTCTGTTCAGCAGCTCAGTGGGTTGTGGTATTTGGATCCTGCAGTGCTCCCTTATGTGTTGCTTTGTGGGATTAGCAGGATGGATGCCACAGAACTTATAAGCATCCTGGAGCCTCTTCAGGTCTGCCTGATCAACCACTGAGAATGCCGCAGAGAGAAGCTGGCAGAAAGTGCTGAACAGAGGAAGATGCTCAGAGGTACACTCCCACAAAAATCGCCTCAGGCAGTGGAACAGGTCCAGTTTTACAATAATGTTCTTGTTGTAGTGGGTTCGAGAGGCACAGCTGTTTGCCACTGGTCCAGATGTGGCCGCAGCAACAACAGCAGGAGTGGTTTTTCAGGCATCCCACGATAGATTTTCGACAGGGATGCAGTCTGGGATCTTAAATGGAGCACAGCAATCCCTAAATGTAAGAAATACAAATACATGTAAGTATATGGAATATTATGTGTGTGCATCAAATTGATCTGAAAAAGAAAAACTCAGTTTTTCCAGACAGATTAGCAGTTTGAATGACAACGATGATTACGGTTTTTACCTGTCCACCCAGTGGTAGCCGGCCTTTTCCACTCCTGCATCACTGTACCTCTTGGCCATTCCCTGGTACATGGGCTCCAAGGACCTTTCTGTGTCAGACTGAACCATGACCCACGAAACAATCAGCCAGTTTTCATTCATTATGGAATAACTGGACATGACCCCAGATGCCAGCATGACTTTTCGTGCCACCTTCCTGATGTGGTCAGACCTGGAAATGTGGCCAAAAGTGCCCTGGAGGAGTTTGGATATGGCTGGATGTTGACGTCGGAATTCGTCGAGCAGGCAGTCAGTCAGGTAATGGCTGGACACAGAGACGCCACACCAGGCATGTGGGTCTTCATAAGACCTGAACTCCTGTGGCTTATTTTCCTTCCTCAGGAACTGCCCAATGGTCCTCTGTGCATGAGCTCCTGCCTCAGAATCCCAGACCGATCCTGTGGCATGGAGGTACGTCAGGTGAGCTCGCTCGTACTTGAGGTGCATGAGTTCATTTATTTGGTTTGCCATGTCTGTTGGAGATTTGCCAGTCCTCCTGAGCTCATCCATAACAGACTTGCAGATGGCCTTTTTGTTTGTAAGAAAAGCAGGGAGAAGGTTGGTAAACCTTTGGGCAGTTTCTCCAGCCATCGTGGATTGTCAGCAAACCAGTTCCTGCGACAAGCCCTGCAGCAGAGTCGTGAAGACAGGATGTAATACTGACCACTGGTGCCAACAATTACACGTGGCCTGCCCACACCAGCAGAGACCACTTGTGAACGAAAGCAACCATGGAGACATGGCAAGATATAATTGTTTCTTAACCTGACCATGATAGCACTCTCAGGTTTCATTTTACATTTTATGCACAGGGCGATTACATCTGATTGGGTCACTTCCAAACTCGTCCTGCCTTTGTCATCATCATCATCATCATCATCATCATCATCATCTTCTTCATCCGCTTTATCCGAGGCCAGGTTGCGGGGGCAGCAGCCTAAGCAGAG